AAACAGTGGTGCGGAAAGTTCATTCGATGGGACATTACGATGCAAGGAAAACCTTTTCTATGGTAAGTTTTATCCAAGCTTAAGCAAAGGCTGTTATTCCTTGTATATAGAAACTAAACTTAAATACTTTAATTTGTGAGCTTAAGTTCAAATTAATGGTTTTTTTCAATATCTGTGTGTTAGTTTTGCACTAGTTTTAAAAGCAAGAATTTGGATTGTTTTGAAATGTAAGACTATTTTGCGATTAATTTTTTTTGTGTGTGAAGAATTAACGTCTTTTGCTCCGCTGTTATTTTATTGAACCAACACTTTGCTTTTTAATTTTTCTTTCGTTGCTCTTTTAGAAAATAACACTCAGCCTGAGCGAAAACAGTGACCAAAAATCTCAGATTAAATAATTTTTACAACAAATGAATGTTCGTGTATAATTTTTTTGTTCCGTAAGAACAAAATCAATCACTCTGCGGGCCTCTTTACTCGAGCCAGATACAGTCTGTTGATATGGTAATATGGGCTAACCTTGTGACCTAGATGTTACTTTGGTGGCTAAGACCTAGTTAGATACTAATATGAAACTTGAGAGATGGCGCCTCAGTTTACATCTGAAAATTCCCGTAAACAGTGATCAGACCAAAATCTCAGTGCAGCAACCAGTGTTAAATTTCCCATTTGACAGACGGTAAAATTCACCGTGCCAATTTCACTCAAATGATAAGTTGCTGCTTATTTTTTTAAGAATTGACAAAATAATCAGAAATTTGTCTCCTCAAATCGGTTTATTTGTCATGCCACAGAACTTAACATCAAGTCTGTTATGTAATAGTGTAGTTTGATTGTCCGGGCAAGTCTAGTCCTGAGAAGGACTGTTGTCGGTAGTGGTGAGAGACATTTCGACAACCTGAGCGGAAGTCATCTTCAGAGTCAAGTGAATAGTTGTTGTCAGTCAAATGTTCTTAGTCTGGTTTTTTTAAGTCTGTTATGTTTAACTAAAATGAATATCTCAGTAAATACACAGGAAACCCTATGAACAAAAATATAACACTGCAAATTAAATCACAGACTTAGTCAATCATATCCTTGTTCATGAGACCTCTTAGTGATGAATGATTAGATCAAGCATGTGAGAAAAATGGCATTTGGAAATATACTGGTACATACGCGGAAAGTACTTATGGAACAGTTTCTTTATAAACACCCCAAAAATTAACTTCTCTTGCTGTCTGCCAATTTTTTTTTTTGCATAGCATAGGGTTCATGTATACAATATCCCCTCCAGTATATTTGCTGTCAAACTCAGTGGACTTTGATTGCTTGAATTACACCAGAAATGTTTACATATACTATAATATACTTACTGGTTTGAACCTATGTATGATGGTTGATTATGTGATCTGATATTTAGCCATGAAATATGTCTTTTTGTCAAGTTCATCAGTAACTACAGTATGTATCAGAAAATTATGAATTGATGAAACCTAAGATTCAAACCACTGATTTGTTAATGTAGAGTATATTTCTTGTTTCTTTTTAATTTGACTTTTATTATATTTCAGATACAAGAAAAATACACAGTGGGCCACAGAGACTTTGGAATTGACAAAAGTATTATCAGTGTTGTAGTAGAAACATGTCCTAACTGCCTTATGAAAGAAAAACTTACAAATGGACTCAGAAATGGTGATAATTGTCAACTGGAACATGAAAGACTTTCCCCAGTAACTTACAATGGGAAGTTTTTAAGTGATGCAAAATCAATGGTTGCCAATGCTCCTGATAGCAAGTGCATATGGTTTGATAAATCAGGTACAAGATAAATGAATTTATTTGCATGCCACTGAAACTTATGACATCAAGCAGTCCCTCTTTTTCAGCTAAGTAAACTGTGTGAGTCACAAAAATCTGCTAAGGAATTGATTTTGGGGAGCTATGCATCATAGAATTCCAAGAGTTTTCCAGCGTCTTTTTTTTTTCTCCCTGTCTCCCTTCCTTTTCTGCTTTATCTGTGAGGAAACAGTTCGATTGGATTGTAAAGATTTTTGGATAGAATCTTTATTGTGGAATGCTGTTAGTGATTTGTAGCACTTGAATTCATTTCTTTACAATAGTTACATTAACATTCCAAAGCCCTCAGTGGATTACTGTGTGCCTTTAGACCCTTGTCTTTGTTATCATGATTTATCTGTACAAAGTTTAAAGTTCAATGTTTTTCACACAATAATTTAATGGTCTATTGTCACCTGTTAGCTAAGAAGAGTTTGCAACTTGTTACCTTATGTTTTATTGATGTGTTTTTCACTATTTTGTTTTGTTATTAGTCCTCACAGATAATCAAGATTTTAACAGTAAACTTAGAGGTTTGATTAATGAACTGAGAGGAGAGTTAGGAGCTGTTCTGAGAGGAAGCAGAGATGCAAGGGATAGACTTTTAAAAAGTAAGTGTACTGCTTTTTCCTTTTTTGGACATAGAGCCAATTTGTTAAGAACGATAGATTTGCTGTGGTAACCTTCCCAACAGTTACACATCTGGGAAAGTTTGCCAAGGCAATTTCAGCATTTTTTTCAGAAACTTGTTTTGCCAGAGTACTTCAGAAATGACAAATATTCATTTGCATTTAGCCACAATCATAGGTCCTCTCTCTACCTTGCAAATAGAGAAGGAAGAAAGGGGAGTCTGGGTATGAGGTTGACTGGCTCTTTTTACAGATGAGTTACAGGAGAGTAATTTCCTTTAAACTCCTCTTGACTTACTGTCTTAAGGTCATTGCCAAGTCCTCCCCACTTTTTTATCTTGAAAAAAAAAACATAACATAAAAGAAACTGGTGTGCTAGGTTTTTAACATGGTGAGTATTTTATACCAATCATACAGTGGATGTAAAGAAAACTGTTATAATCCTGGATGACTTTTCACACTCAATTTAAACTTCCTCAGAGTTAACCTTCTTTAACATTGAAGTAACATCACCTCTACATCTCCTTAGTTTGATGTTAGTAGAGTACTTTTAACTCTGGTAAGAGAATAAAAGGGTTACGTTTCTAAAGAAACTGTGCAGCTGCTTCGGTGGGGAGGGGGGAGGGGAATACATGATAATTTGGTTTTATCAACTGAGTTGATAATGTAAATTGGCCACCACAGTTTCTGAAGCAGACGTTTTGAACGTTAAGCTTTTGTCCTCCGCTTCGACGAAGGGCTAACGCATCACAAATTGACGATAGGTTTTAACGTTGAACATTTTTCCTTTTTTATAGAAATATCCATCACACAATTCGTTATCAATGAACACAAAAGTTCATCACAGCAATCTACAGAAATACCGGAATATAATCAAAAATTTATTGATGACATGAAATCTCTACTGGAAAGCTACAGAATTCAAGGTAGAGAAAAGCTGTTTCTCGCCGATATGGAACTTCTTGCCGGAGCCTACAAAACAGCAGGCTATACGGACTTGTTTCTCCAAAGTGTGGAGGCACTCATACGTTCATTGGTATCCAGATGACACATGCTATGTGGCTGGAAATTAACATGTTCGTGTTTTGTTTTACCTGTTTTTTTCCCGCGCGCCTTCTCGTTCGTGCGCGTTGTTCCCACGCGTCCTATCAATGCATTCGAGTCTGGTTCTCTGTTTGCGCCCCTTGATTATTATAATTGTTTGATTTCCTGGGGCATTATTTCCCCTGAATACAAAAGCAAAGTGATGCTAAGCTCCGTCGTTAGGAATTGACTGAAATAAAAAGTTTTCTTTAAAATTCGATTCAACTGGTATCTAATATCTGAGTCAAAACAAGGACTCACCGAAATTTGGACCAAAGTTATGTAAATTAATCCGAACACTTCATTTTTTCTCTGCCTCGCGCGAAACGTGTAAAGGTATCAGATGTAAGCGATGCAGTGCATGCTTTCCTGAAACCAGGGAAGAAACCTTCTACCAGCATTTTAACAGCTTATGATCGAGACATTATAATTATTCCAGGATCCGAAGCGTTCAGGACAAAATGATTACATGTATTTTTTTAAATGGATTATGCCCTTGAAAACAAGAAAAATTGAAACACCTATCATCAAACAACAGAAGCTAAAAAGGATCAAATACGAGGTTTCGTCTAGAACACTCGAGACAGAGTTAGAATTCCGTTGTCATGAACATGAGTAAAGGGGTTTCTTTCTAAAGAAACTGTGGTGTTGCATCGGTGAGGGGTGTGACATGGTAATTTGGTTCTATGAACTGAATTGATAATGTAAACTAGCCACCATAAAGAGTTTCTAAGCTCACGTTTCAAGCGTTCGCCCTCCGTCAGAGCGAATGACGAAGGGCTAGCGCTTGAAAGTTGAGCTTTAGAAACTTTTTTACGGCAGTCAATATACAATTTCAACTCAGTTCATAAAATCAAATTGTTTTTCATGAACAGAGGCCACTTCGAAGAGGTTCTTCGCTGGTTACATCGACGTGGCTTCTTCAATTGCTTCTAATATTTGATTGTTCTTTTGTTTGCGTTTGTTGATGATTAAACAATGATAAAACAACTGCTTGTCTCTTTATATAAAAGTTTTGTGTGTAGCTGTTACTCAGCTCTAAGAATGAAGCTAATCCATATTGTGTTTTAATGGTTTGACTTTATGCATGGAAATTCTTAACATCAGCTTGTTTCTACACTTTTTCAAACTAATGCACTATTTGATCCATCACAAAGCATTGTAGGAACTGTGAAGAGTCACTGTCAAAAGTCAATTGTTCTGTCACCCAAGATGTCCGGTTGTACATTGGTCAAAAACGCGTGCAAAATTCAGCTGGTGATTTGTGGTGATTGATATTTTAATCGCAATTTGTAATGAAATAATATTTCAGATCCGACGGATTCTTAGATACAACTTGCTTTCATCTAGTAAGAGCGCCACTTGAAGTGACTTAAACTCTGATTTCCTTTTGAAAATTCACAGAGGACAAATTATTGAAGAAAGGAGAAAAAACAGAAAATTAAGAGCAAGGATGAGAAAATTAGATATCCTTTGAGTAAATGTTTATTGTATAATATTGCTCACATACTCAGTAAAAAACTAATCATTTTAATCTTATAGGATTATTGTTCCATCCAATAATTTTAACTCTACGATGCAACTACCTCTGCACAAATCGAAAGATAAGTGAGTTACTTACAAACTGATTATAAACCCCTCTCGTTCTCCCCCCGCACTATCGTTTTATATGCGCGACGTTGCACATTCGAAGAAAAAAATCTTACAATTTTCAACCGCTAAATAAAACACCAGGGTTCGAAATTAACTTCTTTCTGCGGGCTTCAAGAAGTAGTTAATGTGTTTCTTTTTCCCCTCTGTCACCAGGATGAATAGAGTACTTAAATGTTCGTTTGTTTGTTTGCTTTTGTCTTTTGTTTTTTTTTTACATATTTCTAAAGGCGATAACCATTTGAGTGTACAAAAGCTCCACGGAAAAAAGCCATTTCTTTCGATTCTTGTGCGCTGGTTAACATAAACCTTTTAACCCTTTAACTCCCATGAACGACCAAGACAGAATTTCTCCTCACAATATCATTACAATATCAAGCAGACAAGTGATGAGAATAGAGAAAAATATCAGTTAGGGGATTATAAGCTTATCCAATACCAAATTCTCCAAACTAACATCATGAGAACTGTATGGCAGACAGTAAGGAGAATTACTAATGAGGTCTTGGGAGTTAAAGAGTTAACTTAGTCGCCTTGAAATTACGGTAGCGAGTAATCAATTGATAGTCATTTCGGAACTTGGAAAACATTTACCCCTCTAAAGAACACAAAAGTTACACAGTTGATTTACGGACACTAATTTTAAACAACACCTCTCTGACTATATGCATATCTCTTCCGTAATCTTTAAATCTATTTCACGTTTGGTAACTTTTGCTGGATAAGTAAGAAAAGAAGAATTACTTAGTAAGAGGTATAACTTATACTCAGAACGGAGTCTAGTGATTAGCGATCATTTATCCAGTTTAGAACAACTAGTAATCACTCATTTATTTCCTCTCGTTTATGATTATGTATAACTTAAGTTTGTTTCTATGTTTCGTTGTGTGTAACACGAGAGATCGCCTTTTTTATATGAATACTTTTCCAGGGTTCATAATCCCATTCGGGTCGAACAAGTTCTTTATGTCTTTCATGACTTGCACACCCGTTGCACCAATCTCTTCAGGTAACAGAGCTTGCTTGCCACACCCAACACCATGTTCTCCAGTACACGTGCCTCCCATGGCAAGGGCTCGTCTGGGTGACAGAAGAAAGAGAAATTTTGGTACCGTGAAGAATATATCATATCCTGTTCACAGTCATTTAGCCTCTTAGTTAGTAAAAGTGAGCGAAAAAGCGGGCAAAAAAACAAACAAAAAAAACAAACAAAAAAAAAAACGGGTGCGCAAAATAACGGTGATGTCAGGCGAAAGAGCTGTTTATCACCCGTCGATCGCCCGAGTGAAGATTGCACTACCCCCACCGTCCACTCAAACCTCAAATCAAACATGGCCGGTCGGATAAACGATCGCGAGCTTACAACTTTAGCTCGCACTAACAATACGCCTGCACTGCAGGCTTGAAAACTTCGTTTTTTCTGTAACTTTGTAAGAGTAGGGATTCTTCAACGTACTCCAAGGAGTATTCCAAGGTGGATTGTCTGTATCGCGCAACACAAGAATTTGGCCCGGGACCTACCTGGCTAGTCTATCAATAAAACCTTTCGCTTTCCGCACTTCCTCTTCACATCCCATGTCAAGAGGCAATACACAGTGGAAATTTCCATCTCCTACATGTCCAACAATTGGAGCTAGATAGAAAAGACAAGGACAATCTTTAATCCAGAGTGTTCTTACCTTCCTAATCTGAGGGTGAATTCCTTCGCTACCCGGAGTTCTTCCTCGTCATCCGGTTTTACGGGAATAAAACAATGGAAGTTTCCATCGCCCACGTGCCCAACAATAGGGGCTGGAAATGAACGAGTACAGTGTTATTAACCATGAGCAACAGATACTACTTTTCCTGGAAGTTAAGGTGTGTAGGGGGGGCGGGGGCGGCGGCGGGGCGAGGCAGGTTCATACTCATGTGAAACTCACCAATTAAGTTAGAAGCCATGATATCTTCTTTAGTTTCCACGATAATCTCTGGCAGTCGTGAGATGGGTACACAGACATCTGTTGATACTCCCTGAAAAAGAATGGAAACAAACACAACTCTGAAAGAAATGGCTTAAAGTTACACTAAGTACATCACCATGGCACCATTTGGAAAAAAAAATTTAAATACACAACTTGCATGCATCTATTGGTGCAAAATTAGATATTGACGATGAGGAAAGGTGTAAAGTAATTAAGATAAAAAGATCAAAGTTAGAAACTTCAAGAAGTAGATGAGACTGATGTTTCACTCTTACCTTACAACCAGGTCTAAGAGCCATGTCAGCATACCATGCATTGTGTCGTGCCTTCCACAATTTATTTCTCTCTTCAATTTCTGTGGCCCACTGGAACTTAGACCCACCATTACTTTCAATAATCTCACCTACAGCACATGAAGGAAAAGTGTTACACTGTACATGTATGTCATGCAAACTTAGTGGCCAATTACAGCTGCAGCTAATATCTCAGCTTCTGTAGCTCAGTGCAAGCAGCAGCATCTCTAGTAGTCCTCCTGGGTAAAATGAGAGGTTATAACTTATAAGTTTCTGTTAGAGTCAAGTTTCCCAGATAATTTACCAGCAGCCATTCTACGCCTGGGTTTCAAGAGACGTTGTGAGAGTAAAATGCATTGTTCAAGAACACAACATGATGACCCACACCAAGACACTATCAGATCCTCTTGATATAGAGTCCACTTTGCTACCAGTAATTCCTAGGCATCTTTCCAAATGAATTGAGGAAAAATAGCCCTGAAACGTATGTAACTAACTTCCTTAGACTTCATGTAAAATTTCCTTTTTTAAAAATAAATTAAGTATGTACGCTTGCACATAGACCTATATTAACCCTTTAACTCCCAGAAGGGATTAACATGAACCTTGTCCTTATAATATCCATACACTATCCAGAAAACAGGTAATGAGAATACTCAAACTTATCAGGTAGTTGTTATCTTGATCTAACGCCAAACGCGACTTATTTACAAGGAAATGTGTAGCAGCTGGATGGGAGAATTAACAATCAGATCTTGGGAGTTAAAGGGTTAATGTCAGCTTCTCATCTGACCTGCGACAGAGGCTTGCTCCTTGACCCCATTCTCTGACCCTTGAAACTCCAAGAACAGTGTTGGAGTTACAGGGTAATTCAGTCCTGAGAACTTGTTACAAGCATCAATCTGCACATCATCAAGAAATTCTGCACATGAAAAAGGCAACAAAAAGTCCATTCAAAACCTACAAAAAACTCAATTTGACAGCATGATTAGGATCTAAATGTAGGGACAAACATTCAGCACTCCAAAATAGTTGACAAAAGGTTGAAGCAAGTATCAGCAACATAATGATCAGAAGCTCTAGGAATGTGGTACAGAACCAAGAGTTTTGGAAGCAATCAAACAACTGACTCATATAATTCTTAAAAGACAGGGTAATTATTTTTAAAAACCTAACAATTTTCATTAATAAATAGGCCTAAAATTATAAAAATTTAGGGGTTTAAAGTCAATTTACCAATACGAGCCATGGGAATGCCACTCTGTAGAATTTCTACCACAGCATCCACAGCTGACTTGACGTCAGAAAATGATGACACTC